TATATATATATATATATATATATATATATATGAATTGTCTAGATGAAATATATTGATCATCTTCTTCACAGGTGTTAAACCACAGCAGAAGTTCACAGCCGTCATTCACGCTGTCACGCCTCTTGTATCTCAGTCTCAACCGATTTTCAAGTTGCTAGTGGCTGTGGCCAAATCACAGTACTGTGCCCAGGTCAGTGTTATTTTAGTATTATTTATGTGCTATTATAGTATTTTGAAATAGCTTTTGTTTTTATATTTTCAGTTTTCATTTAATTTTAGTTTAGGTTTTAGTCATTTTGTTATGCGTCTTTGTCATTTTCATTAGTTTTGGGGTTTTTAGTAATATTTCTATTTAGCTTTCATTCATTTTAATTTAGTTTATTTTCCCTAATTTTAGTACTTCAACTTAATTTCTTTTTATTTCAGTTAGTTGCAAAATATCAGGCTTTCAGAAATATGGTCAAGCTCAAACACTTCAACTTCATTAATTCTAACTTTATTATTAAACAACTGCAAGAAAATGGAAACGATGGAAACAATAAAAACATCCACAATGTAAAAAAAAAAAAACTACTGTGATAAAATAAATTAATTACCATCTTTAAATATTGTGAGTTTATGATCTTGTTTATTAAGTTTGAATTCACTAACATTCAAAAGTAAGATTTTTTGGGAAAAAAAAAAGTACCGAAAGAAATAAAATTTATCAAAAGTGACAGTAAAAACTTTCCTTCTTTTCAACATTGCTAATTAGAAATGTTTCTTGAGCAGCAATTCAGCATATTAGAATGATTTCTGAAGGATCATGTGACACTGAAGACTGTAGTAATGATGCTGAAAATTCAGCTTCGCATCACAGGAATCAATTACATTTTTAAAAATATATTCAAATAGAACATAGTTATTGTAAAGTATAATAATATTTCACAATATTACTGTTTTTGCTGTATATCTCCATGTTTATGAAAGTTAAACGCTTGTGAGATTTGAGCCATGTTAATGTTATCGTTAAAGTGAGTCTGATGGATCTAATGAACATCAGTGGTGAGAAATGATTCAGAGATCATTCAAAACTCTTCCTTTTGCAGATCATCCAGGACCGTGTGTTGCAACATAACGCCCACAGCACTCTGATGTGGAATCGGTTGCCCGGAGGACTTTTCACTTTGCCCCAATACTCATCCTACCTAGGCGACTTCCCTTTCTTCTATGCTGTACTCGGTAAGCAGGCCACCGCTGTTTATCTTGAGCAGCAATTCAGCATATTAGAATGATTTCTGAAGGATCATGTGACACTGAAGACTGTAGTAATGATGCTGAAAATTCAGCTTCGCATCACAGGAATCAATTACATTTTTAAAAATATATTCAAATAGAACATAGTTATTGTAAAGTATAATAATATTTCACAATATTACTGTTTTTGCTGTATATCTCATCAAATAAATGCAGCGTTGGTGATGTTCTGTAATGTTTTCAAAAACATTAAAGAAACGTAACAACCCTAAACGTTTGTGTGATAGTGTATATGATATAAAAATGTAGTGAATAGTAGAAATGGCCCTGGTACAGCCTGCTTGACAGCATCTGTGTGCTTGTATCAGATCATCGTCCTGTGGAACTGTGACAAGCCTCTCCCTGCGAAGCACCGCTGGCCCGCCACCTCTGTTCCAGTCATCGTAATCGAGGGCGAGAGCAAGGTGAATCTCCACACCATGCTGTCTTTATATTCTCATCATATCAAATGAAGTGTCTGGTGTTACTCGCCTGCGATGAAAAATGATGGATGATGTATAGATTTGCTGCTGCCGTGGTTTTGCGCTGTGGCTTGAATGTTTTTCTTACTAAAGTTAGAGATATTGAGCATTTTCTGGAGGTTTCATGCATTGATTACATGTTTAGGTGATGAGCAGCCGATTTCTGCCCTATGAAAACATCAAAACAGATGCAGTCTTGAGTCTGGATGAAGACACTGTGCTCTCGACTACAGAGGTGAGCCAACAAATCAGAATGGTTCTAGGTTTTGTGAATTTTGCGTGCGTGTTGTATAAAACAAGTGCTCATGTTATTTCAGAAATGTGTACATTTGCTCATTAAAGTTTACACTATGTAACTTTTTATCCTTTAGTGGTTAAAGCATAAACACACATTACTTGGTAATGATCACCTTGATTATTGCCTCATCAGTGTGAATGTCACATGTAATAAAATCAAAACTCAAGAGAACGAAAGAAGGATATTTGAAAAAACAAGTAAGATTTTATATGGAAGCTTGTTTCTGCCACGGAATTAAAAAAATAGAAATTGCAACTTTTTTTCTCACAATGAGTGAGAAAAAAAGTGAATCTTTCTTGAGTTTATCTATCAATTTGCAAATTTTGCAAATCTGATTTTTTTTTTCCCCCTCTGGAATTCTGAGTTTAAACCCTGCAATTCTGACTTTTTTCCCAGGATTCTGAGTTTGCACCAACCAAACCCAAATTCTGTTTATTTGCTCTCACCACGGAATATAAAATAAAACGGTAATTACGACTTTTTATCTCACAGTTCTGACTTTTTTCTTGCAATTCCGATTTTATATCTCACAATTCAAACATTTCTTCTCAGAATTGTGAAATAAAATGTCATAATTACCTTTTTATTTATTTTTTTATCCCTTGGTGGAAGCAAGCTTCCATACTTATTTGCTGTTGTTTTGACTTGCTGAAATCGAGTTAAAAAAAAAAAAATGTCTCAAAAGTTTGGCAACACTGACATCAGACAAAGCGATTGCTATTCATATCAGATAACGATGAAAACTATTACTTAACAATAGGGATGCACCGATACCGATACTGCGCTCCTGTACTCGTACTCGTAAAAATGCCCCGATACCAAAAGCCGATACCAAACAGCGTGTGAATAGAGCTGTGTCCAGAAAAAGAAACACTGAAAACAGAACAACAGAGAGTAGAATGGAGTTATTAGAGATTAAGGATGTCTATGAAGTACATGTAAGTAATTAATATAATGTTAAACATTCAATATTCACGCCTGTATAGCGGATGTGCCCGAGCTGATAAGCAGAGCGCGCTGAGTGGATTGAGCGCGCGGCTGCACAGATGCGCGAGCTTGTCGAGTGAATATCTCACAGACATCACTGGAAAGTTTGTAGTTCGGTCAGATATGTCAAAAGCAAGTAAGTAAAACAATGCACAAGTTACTAAAGTTATTTGACGGTAAGGAAGAACGAGAGCGAGCGAGAGAGAGTCCGAGAGTCCAACTTCTGTTGCATGATCTTGATTGATGTTCGCTCCATTAGCGCATGCATTTGGATTAAAACTAAATCGTAAATATAAAACAAACAAAAATTATAGGCGCATTCACTATAAACAGCATTTATTTTAAAGCAGAAGTGAAACTAGCAGACTGGGTGAAATGCGCTAGGCTGTAAGTGTCTCTCTCATTCTGCACCAATACAAACGTGTGCACTGCATATGTTTAGCTTGCTTTAAGGCCAAAGTATACTTCGGTTTTTACTCGTACGCGAGGGTCCGTGTACACTGCGCGTGACGCAAATTACATCACCAAAATAGTACATTAAAATGAACAGTGAAAGTAACAAAAGCTTATACAATACATTTTAACAGGTATAATTAAGTGTGGAAATAACTGAAGGTAATATCTGTTTGCTAAATGAAGCCAACTAACATGATTCATATTATTATTATTATTATTATTACTATTATTTTGTTTCTGTAACAAACTGAAAAAAAAATTACAAATGCTGTGAAAATACAGGTATCGGCATTTACCAAAAATGAAAGTATCCGTATCGGACTCGTTCTGAAAAAAGTGGTATCGGTGCATCCCTACTTAACAAGGCTATTTATTGGCAAGTACACTAAAGTTGTAACTTGTAATTTGCATTGTTACAATGCAGTGCCATGCAAACTATGTTGATTAATGTTTTAACAAAATTTGTTACATTTTAATTTCAAACAAAAAATGGAGCTTTAAATTGTATTTTCAGCAATAAATTGCTTTTCAGTCACCCTGCTCTCTAAATATCAATATCTGCCGCATTGGTTGACCACTAACTTGAGTTTTACTCTTTTTATGCAGGACTGAATTCTGAGTTAAATATTTCTGAAATCTTGTTTGTGTCTGAGCTTTTGGAAACCGTTTAAATTGTTCAACACAGTGACAAATCTTAGGGTTTATGTGTGAATGGTTGAGTACTTATTAAAGAATTCTTGTTTCTGCAGGTGGATTTTGCCTTTACAGTTTGGCAGAGTTTCCCAGAGAGGATTGTGGGATACCCTGCACGGAGCCATTTTTGGGACTCTAACAAGGAGCGCTGGGGCTACACCTCCAAGTGGACCAATGACTACTCCATGGTGCTGACTGGAGCTGCTTTCTACCACAGGTAAGTTCCCTTCACAAGGAGGCACGAAGTCACTTTCCAGAACCTTCACCCTCTCTGCTCATCTGTGGTGGAATGAGCTGCCAACCTCCTGTACTGCTGAAACAGTCTAAGTACCCACATGTTCCCTAGGCAGGCAGCTCACTACTGTTAGTGATTCATCATGGTTGACAAGTTTTATAAAGGCATTTAACAGGCTATCTTTTCTTACTCCAGGTATTATAACTACTTGTATACACACTACCTGCCCAGCAGCTTAAAGAGTATGGTTGACCAGCTCTCAAACTGTGAAGACATCCTCATGAACTTCCTGGTGTCTGCTGTCACTAAGATGCCTCCTATCAAGGTCACCCAAAAGAAGCAGTACAAGGAGACGATGATGGGACAGGTACAAACTGCATTAAATCAATGTAATTGTCGCCGTTCTCAGTTTCAGATATTCACCTCGTATGTTCAGCTGTTTGAGTGCTAGTATTTCCTGCAGAGTTAAATCTGGAATTCTGGGGAAGGGTTGAGACAAGTGCGACACTGTTTTCCCCTCCCAAAAATAGCTTATAATGACTTGAGGAAATACTTCAGCTTCCTTCAACAGCTTCTGCTATTCTCATATTAAGATAGTCTGTTATTTTGAATGTGTTCTGTGAATTCCCTCAGCACTTTCTGCAAATCCAAAATTTCACGAAACCCGTCAAGAACCAGTGTTATTTTAATATCAATAGGTACTATTATAGTTTTTATAAATATTTTGAATTAATTTTTATTTTTAAATATTCCATTTTTATTTTAGTTTTAGTAATTGTGTTGTGTTTTTTTTTTATTATTAGTTTGTTTAAATGGTTTTTATTCGTTTTTATTTCAATTTCAGTTTTAATTAATTCAACTAAATACAAGTGCGAAATGTTGCCTTGGCAACTTGCTAAAATAAGTTTAAGTGCTTTATATTTTATTTTATTTCAGGTAATGCTAATTTTATTTCAAGTTATTAAAAAATGTTTATTTGATTGTTTTTAGTTTTAGTTTTAGTTAACTATAGTAACCCTGTCAAGATCATGCCTGGATTATATTTCACGTCAACATCAAAATATTTTATTTTATATGTAAAATAATATGTAATTAAATATTTCTATTTAAAATAATTAAAACATTAAAACGTCTTTTTAAAAGCCAATAGCCTATCTTGAATAGCCAATGTCTAAATATAATGTATTTTTGTTGTTGTTGTTGTTTACAAGTCAAATTTAGTTTAAAAGCAAAGTACAAGCCATTTTTTGTTTGAATTAGAATTTTTTATCCTTTATACATTATATGCAGTTGCATCGATCTGGTTTAACATTGATACACAAGCATTAAGAGAGAGAGCGTCTGTTATCCACATAGTTTTGCAACACCACAGCAAGGCATTTTCTGATTCATTAGCCGCTATAGGTAGATAACTAGAAGAATAACAGTGCAGTAAACAGTAAAACTGTTTACTACAGAGCAGTGTGTTCATGATTATGATAATATAAAATAATTTCAAGCAGCATAACGGGTTTGTGCAGGTAAAATAACAAGAAGCAAATGTCACCAGATGTCTTACACATTCAGGTTACAAATGATCGCATCCGCTCTTAAAGTTAAAAATAAGGTGGATATGGCGGCTAACTAACTCTGTCTTTCATTCGCAGACGTCCCGGGCATCACGTTGGGCAGATCCTGACCACTTTGCCCAGCGGCAGACGTGCATGAACAAATTTGCCAGCTGGTTTGGCACCATGCCCCTGGTCCATTCGCAGATGAGACTGGATCCCGTTCTGTTCAAGGACCAGGTATCGATACTGCGCAAAAAGTACAGAGACATCGAGAGACTCTGACGAAGCTTAGAAACCCTTTCCCTCTGAACGGGGATAGGAAACGGCATCCGAAAAAACCCCTGAAAAACCAGATCAACAGGGATAAAAACGGGGGCACGGAAACCCTCAGGGAGGGAGCGCATCAAGATTGGGGGAAGGTGTTGTGCTCGATGAAGATCCATCTGTTAGAGGTTGCCACTATTGATATATGAAAGCAAGAGGTTTTATTCCAGACCACATTGACGTTTTTTGGCTGAGTATAGCACAACACAAAGACACGCCAATATTGGCAGCTTTCTGTCTTCCACACCCCCTCTTATAATGCTTTGCCAATGACAATGGTGACCATGGCAAATTTGCCAAAGCCAGGCAGCCACACACACATCCACATGCAGTCAGAATATAGACTACCGCACGTCGGTTTAACCTCTGGATCAGACCTCTCCATGTTAGATGTGCAATAAGCCTGGCTGGAAGGGTCGCCTGCGGTCCAGCCATGCATGTTTATTCAGTTCGCCTTCGACAAGCGTTACGCCCCTCTTGAAGAAGTAGGATGACGTCCCGTGGAGAAGTCGAGCGTGCAAAACACCGTGCACAACATCACAGTGCCTGAGCTTTCAGATGGACCATATCTGGGAGCCCAAAGGGGTTTTGTATGAATGCAAATACACCTTGTTCATGCTGCTTATATTTGGATTCAAATGTAGGTGTTCCACAAATTGGCCCAAAGTTTTTTTTTTTTTTTTTACTTTTATTTCTATAAAAGCCTTTTGGTGTGTTTTGTCAAACTGACATAATTGTAGTATTTTTTGATGATTTAGACCCAATTCCACAAACATCTCGTTCTCTGTCTGGTTTTCTTGCGAGTCTTACAAGTGTAATGCCATATCAGAGGCCACGTTCACACTGCAGCTAATTCAGATGTCACTCCACTTCTTCTCTCTTTGTTTTTGAAAGTGACACATTTTTACATCTAAAATATTCTTACAATTCAAATTAATAATATAACTACTTGTTAATGCAGCGATGCCACTTTTCTAATGACAAGCGTGGAGGGGCTTAAAACACCAAATCTGTTTACGGTGGTTTGAAAAAAAAAAAAAATTCGGAATGTTCATACCCATTCTAATCTCCACTCACTGTTTCTTTCTTTAAAACAGCAAACATTTCAAATAGATGTTGCAATCCATTTCTGTTTTTTTGTCAGCCAGAGTTTATGTGGCTATTATGTACGTAGGTTTTCCACAAATTGGCCCAAAGTTTATTGTTTTTCTTTATTTCTATACAAGCCTTTTAATGTATTTTGTCAAACTGACATAACTGTAGTATTTTTCTGATGATTTAGACCCAATGCTACAAACGTCTGGTTTTCTTGCGAGTCTTACAAGTGTAATGCCATATCAGAAGCCACGTTCACACTGCAGCTAATTCAGATGTCACTCCACTTCTTCTCTCTTTGTTTTTGAAAGTGACACATTTTTACATCTAAAATATTCATATAATGACAACCACTTTTACAAATCAGTCTAATAATAACACGTTTTTTAATGCAGTGACGTCACTTGCTAATGACCAAACATTTTAAATCGATATTGCAATCCATTTCTCATTTGTTGTCAGTCATGAATAGTCAGTCAGAGTGTGCATGAGACTACTATGTAGGTTTTTGATTTTTCTTTCTTTTATACAAATTGACAAACTGACATAATTTTAGTATTTTTTAAAATGTTTTAGAACCAATGCCACAAACATTTACTGTCTGGTTTTCTTACGAGTGTAATGTCATTTGAGACCACGTTCACGCTGCAGCTAATTCAGTTGTCACTCCACTTCTGACTGCTTCATCGTGGTCTTAATTTGTTTATTTGGAAGTGACAAATGTGTTTTACATCTGGAAAGATTAGATAGTGACAACCACTTTTACAAATCAATCTAATAATAACAAATAGTTCATGCAGACGTCACTTGTCTAATGACAAACATGGAGGGACTAAAAACAGGTCGTTTGCTCAAATTGTTAAATGTTAACATCATTGTTCGCTAATAATTCTTTCTTTAAATGGATGTTCCAATCCATCCATTTAAATGTATTTATATTTTTTATATTTTCTCTAAAGGTTCAACTTCAACACTGTTCCATTTCAGAAAACCACATCCAATAATCCCTATGTTGTTTCAGTGTGTACGTGGCTAGTATGTATTTCTAGAATCACTCGCTCTAGCACACAGGATATAAGAGATATTTAACACTAGTTTCGCGTTTACTCTCGCAAATCAATGAAAGGTCTGAAAATGCTTGATTACGAGAGGACGTCATTCATTCAGAGCTTCAGGTCGAGTTTTGAGAACGTCTTCTATTGATTTTCTGTTAAGAAAGAACTATTAACTCATGTTCACTCTGGTTTTTCTCAGATTGGGATGGATAGAGCTGGCTGTCTCAGTGGAGACTGATTCAAAAGTACTTTTGATCAAAATCCATACACTTTAACATGGTCTTAAGTCAGGGTAGATGCCATATTTAATGTTGCATGAATGAAAACTCTGCCTTTTAGGGACGGACCTACAGTTTGTTCAGTGGGCTGCACTGTTTTGTTGTCAATAAAAATACGTCTTTGCAAAAAAACAAAAAAAAATGACGTGATATAGCACCTTAAGACAGTACAACCTACAGTATTGAACCAACTGTTAATTAAATATGGCATATACACAGACTTAAGGTTTAATGTCCCTACAATTACAAAAAAGTACCATATACAGTACTTTCGTTAGAGTATCTTCCCTATTAAAAACAATAGGGTTGAATATTATACATTGATGGTTTGGACCATGTGACGATAGAAATGTGTGAACTGGTAGTGATTTGTTTGACTGGTAATATATTTGCATGGTGATCATCTGATAGGACTGCTTTATTTTATATTTACAAAAAGAAAGAAACCAGGAGTAATGTGACAATACGGAACAGAATGTGTCCCAAATAATGTAGGAAGAGGGAAAACATTTAGGAGTGTTGAGTTGTTTTGCATTAATGTAGAATTGTTCTGATGTGCATGAATTGGGCCAAAACTCTGGCAAACGTCTCTCCAAATAAGGTATCGGTATCGGTATCGATATCGATATCGGTTCTAGTCACATATATCAGCATTCAATCAGGCCTTTCTCTCTTTTTTTGTCTCAAGTAAATGTGCCTTTTCTCAAGACACTTCTGCGTTATTTTGTTAGCCTTCAGCATCACAATCTCCTCTATAGCGTTCTTCTCTCTGGTCTTGTTCCCTTGGTTTAGTTTTCTCTGTCACACACTGGAGTTTTTCCGATGGTTCAGTACTGACATTCCTGCCTGTTTTGTAGGAGACACATCTCGGTCGCTCTTTCACTCGGCCTCATGTTTAAAAGTGTATTTAGCACACTTGAGGATTCATGTATTTCAGTTTAGATTCTTTCATCCTTGGACTTTAATTTACATCATTGCAAACAATAAACTGAAATTTTTTTTAAGATATAAAAGTGATTTTATAAGAAAAAGAAATAAATGATATTTGATACATTTGTATGTGTTGTTTTGTTTATATCAAGTGATATCAAACTGTGTCATATGTGACCCTGGAGCACAAAAGCAGTCTTAAGTCGCTGGGGTATATTTGTAGCAATAGTGGTCCAGGGTCACATATAAGGATGTAACGATTCACTCAACTCACGATCTGATACAATTCATGATACTTATTTCACAATACAATTTTCTCATGATTTTAGCAAAATGAGATTTAAGGCAAATTATAAATGAAAAGGTGTCCTGTTATTGTTTCTCATAAAAAATGCTGCACATTTCTTTGTAAAATTGAAATGTCAAATAACAAAACTAAATTGACATTTTAAAACAAATCCCAAATCAAATAAATATAAATAAGAGAAATCTCTTCATATAAACAAACTAAGGTTTTTATAAACACTGCTTTAAATGCATTATACAGAGGCGAGATGAAAAGAAAACACCATCTAAACTTTACATAGGGATTTACTGAAAAATATGGTGTAGATTTAATTTTCACTCCGAAATTCCTAGTAAATTTCCAAATTATTAGAAAGAATCGGCAAGTAACACATTGAATTAAACATGAATTGAAGGAGACTGAAAGACTGAAATAGTATTTTCTTGTAAAATGTACTCCAGTAATCTTCTAAAAATCATTTGCACTGTGTATTAAAGGGGTCATATGATGCGATTTCAATTTTTCCTTTCTCTTTGTAGTGTTACAAGCTCTTGGTGCATAAAGAAGATCTGTAAAGTTGCAAAGACTAAAGAGTGGATAGCTGGCCAATCAGAGCACACCTGGCTTTTCAGCTTTGTAAAAATCGACGCATTTCAGAAAGGAGGGGCATAGAGGAGAAACAATAATGAAAATAATGTGTTTTTTGAACCTTAAACCGAATAAACACATTTCAAGAGACATGTAAATAAGCGGCAATAGCTTTCATTTCTGCAGATTTACTGTGTGGCTTTGACACAGAGACCCGACAATAACCTGAACCGAGGCCACCGTCAGCCAGACTGAGGATTTCATGAAAAACTGCCTGCAATGTGAACAAACACAGCAGGAAATATAATCAAATATCTCATAAAAAAAAGACAGATTAATATCTACATGTGTAATATGTGATCACTGCTGTTGCCATGGGGAGGATAGATTTCCTTTATGAATATAAGCACAAAAAAAAGAGTTCTGTTTCAGAGACAAATTCATAGGATCACGTCATATATATATAT